AGGTGACACCATCATCGGAGGGTATCGTGCGCCAGATAGAGCACGAATCCTTAACCGTGTACTGGGATATTTGTGGACACGTGATCGCCGCCCACACAACGCCAGCCCAGTGAAGCACAGGAGCAACCGCAGCGCGCCACACAGGATCGCCTAGGATGGCGAGCTTGGCGTGCAAAGAGCATCCCTGGTGGCGAGGGGGCTTGTAGGCTAAGAGGACCTGTCGAGCCTGCTGGAGTTCCTGGTTGCTCATTCCTATCACCCCCGATCCAAAACTGGCCGCAGGCAAAACTCCAGCGACGTATATTTTCCCGACACGACCTTTCTGGCGAGGAAGGGCATGACGATATCGCTGGAGGACGCGGTGCCGCCGACGCATACCACGAAGGCGGGCCCGTCGTCTCCACGGTGCTCTCGGTGCCGAGCGACGCTGGCCAGGAGCAAGATCGGTGCCGAGGGAGACCGCACTGTTAGATACTTGTCCTGACATGTGCCCCAGATGTCGTGCGATGCTCTTGGCCAGTGTGAGCGAACTACCAAACGTGCAAACTTTGTCAGGATGCACAGCGACACGAAGCTCATCTCTAAAGAGGATGAACAAAGCTGCTGCTGCTCGGATAACGTTGCTAATCACCTCCTCCTCCGCCCCCTCCGTCGTCACGCTGTCGTCGTCAACGTAAGAGGAAAACCACGCATCACCATGGCTGACTACGAACTTATCAAAGGCCTCGATGCTATAGACGCGAACGAAGACATCGTTAAAGATATCGCCAGCAGGTAAGCCCGAAGAGGCGAAGTAGGGCACAGCAGCATATTGGGCACCAAGCCGCAACAAACGCGGGCCTCGCCAATACTTGTACGTCGTCTTCACTATCGTAGCGTCGATGCCATAATCTAAGGCGCGCTGGCGCAGCGCGGAGAGATCGAAGGACTCGTAATACTTAGTCCCGTCCCATATGAATCCCCCCGTAGCCTTATCATCATGGTGCGCGACTTCGGCCCGAACGGCCTGATGCCACACAGCGCCCTCAGCGCTCCTACCTGGACCGAAGGCCCAATACTTGCGAGGATACCTATCGTTGAAATCTACAATGACGGAGCGCCGCAATCTCCCCCAAACACGAACGGGTCCCGCGCATAACAAAATGGGTCTCAGGCCCCCTTTCGGTTTTTCAAGCAAGGGAAAAAGGAGCCAAAACAGTTCTTTAGGGAAGAGGCCCAGGGACTCAATCGCTTGAACAAGCGCCGCGAAAGTTTCAAGAGCCGCGTCCGACCCGAGGCTAAAGTGACGAGGATGAAAGCCATCGAGGGATTGGGGCGTGTGGTGGCTGAAACTGCTCGACGCATTCCTTAGCTCAGCAGCCGTCGGCCGAGGCAGGTGGACACGGTCGGGCACGAAAACTTCAGGAGGCACGTGAGACGCGTGCCAAAACTTAGCCAGTTCCTCCCCTTCACGACGAAGGAGGAGCTGAGGATTACTGCTGAAAACTCCAGGATGGGTCTGAACCACGGTGGGATTCCACTTAGCTTTTAACTTAGTAAGGCGATGCATCCCCCTGGCGCCTCCATCCAGCGCCTGCTCCTGCCATTGATCCCAGCTGTCCTGCTGCTGCTTAACAATGGCCTGCTTGGCCGAGAGGAGGTCGTCCTCCCACGACTGTAAGAACTCCTGGCACTCGTCGCACCAGCCATTCAAAAGGCCTGACGAGGGGAACTTGCTCGCCAGGCTGCGTGCCTGCCGCAGGGTCGAATCGAGGCGAATGTCGCATCCTTCGCCTGGGCAAGGAAGACCTAAAAGCTGCTGAATTTGGAGCTGAACATCCTGAAGCATCTGATCACGGGCCGTGACATCCTCAAGCCCGTCGGGGTCCTCGGCGGCCCTCGTGTAGGACTGCTGGAGCCTCGCAGAGGCCCCCACCGTTTCGCTGAGGTGCTGGGCCAGCCAAATCCATCCTCGAGAGACCGGAAGCATTTCTAAAGCACGGGGTTTGGCAACAATCGGGACCCATTTGGGTTTCAGATAATCTCCTCGAAAACCTTTACACCTCACAACCTCTCCAGTGTAGCTCTCGAGCTCAAGCTCGAAGGTGTTGGCAAAGTGCTGCCACGCGACAGAGAGCAAAGCCCACGCCTGGCCGACTGGTGCCTCTAGAGCAGCCTCGGCGGCGGCCTCGGCGATCCCCCGAGCGAGGCGCCAGTCCCGCGGTTGTGGCGCAGGTCCTATGGGCAAACGAGTGGGAAGACGCTGGTGAGCTCGATACTGCAACTGATAACATCGAACAGCATCCTCCTTGAGTTTCAAAGCGACGGGGCGGTGGGGCCTATGGGTCCACTCAAGGTCCGCTTGGACCCCATCGGTGGCCTTCGCAAGGCCCGAGCTCACCAAAAAATAATCGATCGTAGAGAGACTTTGCGGGGAGAGGCAAGTTTTCTGGCCAGGGACAAACGGCGCTCCCCCCGTGCGACGACACACACCCGAATAATCAACCAAGCTGGGGTCGAGATTCCAGTCGCAACCCACCAAAAACATGTGTTCGCCCTGGAGACGTTCTCCCATGAGACGAAGCAACTGGATATTCAACTTGCACATACCAGTGCCACTCTTGAGATACCCGCGCACCACTTGCAGAGGGGGCCATCCTGGCAGATCAACGACAACGTGGATCAACCTACCAGGGCACAAGATGCCCTTCCGATCCGCAGGCCATCTAAGGCCAAGGTGTGAGCGAACGAAGACCGCCACCCCCGCCCTGGTTCGGTTGCCCTCACCAGGGAGGGATGGGGAAGAAAGCATTTTCCATCTCAGGGCCCCCGCAGAGCTAGCTTTTTCACCCTCTCGCTCCTGGAGGAAGCCCACCTCCTGCGCCAGCAGGATACTAGCCGAAGATCTCCTCAGACGGTCGCGTAACGTGGACCAACAGTTGCCATTATACGTTTCGAAGCAGCTGCCCAGGCCATCGAGCTCTGAGCACAGCGGAGTCGAAGGAATGGAGGGGGGCGGAGGTGGAGCAGGAACTCCGAATTTAGAAAGTCTGAGCCCGCAGCAAAGAGGCTGGCTCTGGTTAAACACGAGGCTTGACGCGGCGTAGCTGACCGCCGAACCGCTCAGAAAAAATACTCTTGTCAAAACCCTCCTCTCTAGCAGCGGTGAGGATACTGTCGATGGTGGTGTCGTCGAGGTCATCGAGTTCCATGTCATCGGGGACGCGAACTCCAACTCCACCTGCATCTGCGTCGGCTCCGTCACGACCGCCACCTGACCCGCTAGCACCAGCATCACTGCCATGAGCCTGACTCGCGCCACCAGACGGGGCAGTGAAAGGCGATGCAGCTGTCGCTGGCTTGGGAGGCTCACGGGCCTTGATGCTCTCACCCAGGACCTCAGCGAAGATCTTGAACGTTTCTGACTCCATGAACGTCTTGAGCACTGCTGCTTGCGGATGCTGTGCCAAGACGTTGGGATCGACCTCCAAATTGACCTTAGGCGCCTATGGTAACGTATCGACCAGTTCACGATCAAGCAACAAGATCTCCTCTTCTGCTGCCTTGATCTGCGCACGAAGGGTATCAGCGCGTTCTTCGGCTGCACGTATGATCTCCAGCTGCTCGGAAACCTGCTGCTCAAGCTTGCTCTTGCGTGTCGTCGCACGAGAAAGCCGGTGTCCGACATTAGTGTGTTGAGTGAGCTCTGGCTTCGTCGCCGCCAACTGTTTGCGGGCGTCCACCAGTTGCTTCTCCAAAGACTCACAAGCTTCCTTCCCGACTTCATCAGGCAGCGTCTTGCACGCTGACAGCGAGCTCTCCAGCTGCTTGATATTCTCCTTGAGCTTGTCTGCGGGAGACAGCTCCTTGTTCTCCGTGGAAGAGGCGGCCGCAGGCGGGGCAACCCCATTGCTCTTGGCCACCAGTGCGTCGTACTTCTTCTGAAGTGCGTCGATCTTTTGCTGGAGCGGGTCGGCTCCTGCTGGTGCGCGGCGCCGAAGAGGCCCACGCTCAGCAACACCGCCAGCACGCTCACGAGCACGACGAACCACGTCTGTTGGTGCGCGCTCGCCACATAGACATGTGATGCGGCACGCCCAATTAGCGTTCCTCCCACAAGCTCCGCATGCCCAGGTGGGAGAGCGGGGGCCCGCCAGAACTTCTCCAGCTCCGCCTCCGCCATTTGCCATGGAAGCCCAGCGACTGGGCGCGTATACTGGGGCCTGCGCAAGGCCTGAAACCTGTAGCCACAAAGGACGATGACTCGCAGCAGCGACTGCCGCTCTGAATCCTGCTGCTGCAAGCCCAGCACCTGAAACAGGTCTGAGCCAGAACGGCTGAGGATGCTGATGACGATGACGATGTTGATGTTGATGTTGATGATGATGAGGGTGAGGATGACGATGCTGGCGCTGCTGCGGATGAGGCTGATGATGCTGCTGATTATGATACTAATGATTCTGATGATGATGCTGATGCTGATGATGATGACGATGATGCTTTTGATGATGATCCATACTGACGATGATAGACGACGATGATGATGAGGCTGATTATGATTATGATGATGCTGATGCCGATGATGATGATGTTGGTGATGATGATGATGCTGATGCTTATGCTGATGCTGCTGCTGATGATGCTGATGCTGATTATGATGATGATGGTGGTGCTGATGCTGATGCTGATGCTGACGCTGATGGCGATGATGCTGCTGCTGCTGCTGCTGCTGATGATGATGATGATGATGATGATGATGATGATGATGATGATGATGATGATGATGGTGATGCTGCTGATGGTGATGATGATGCTGAGGAGGAGGAGGAAGAGGAGGAGGAGGAGGAGGAGGAGGAGGAGGAGGAGGAGGAGGAGGAGCAGGACGAGTAGGAGGAGGAGGAGGATGAGGAGGATGAGGAGACGGATTTCTGCGACCTTTCGTTGGGGTTGCAGCTGCTTGTCGCCGGCGACGGCAAGGCGGACAATGGCGGCGGCGGCTGCGGCGGGGCGGCTCTCAACAGGCCGTGGGGGCACGCCGGCGCTGGAGGGCGCGGCTGGTCGCCAGGCGCCCACCCCACCGCGGGCGCCAAGGGAGGTGGAGGAGGAGGATCGGCACGAAGGAAATGGGGACGGGCAGAAGGGGTACGATGCCCAGCAGCAGTTCTTGCTCATTTTGAACAGGACTCGCTGTGGGTGTCGCCGCGGCCTGTGTCCATTTGAGACAAAGGCCGCCTGCCCAACAGCGGCCGCTGTTGGTTTGGGACAACATTTGTTGTTGGGCATTGTGCCATTTTTTCCGTACCCACTTCGGGCGTCCAAAGAGGACGACCAGGAGGAGGAAAAATTGCACGCACCCTAGTGGGCGACCCCTCGGCCTGAGCTGAGTCGCTGGCAGTGCCACGGAGCCCGTATGACATACTGCGCCGATCCGAAAGTTTCCCCAATTTTGCCACCGTGCTCGCCGCGGCCATCTGGGGTGGCGCGCGCAGGATAAGATTCGCGGGGCCCGAGGGGATGGGGGCGATGTCGCGAGGGCAGAGTCGGCGCGCCGATGGGCAGCCCAGCGCCCCGTTTGGCCAGAGGAGGCCATTACAATGCAAGGGCAGAGCCTAACCCCCGCCCAGGGTCGCGGGATCGGGTTCCCCTTCCCAATTTAGGATTTGAAATCCCGAACTGTGTACTGACCCGAAAATGAACAAACGGCATCGGACTTTCTCGAGAAAAACTTTCGGGTTCGGCCATGCGACGACCCGAAAAGTTTACCGGTCGACCTGGTCGTGGGCAAATCTCACAGGAGTTGTGCCAAAACAAATTTCGGGTCCGGTTCGAACGACCCGAAAATTTACAAACCGCCGGGGTTCCTCGCAAAAACATCGTTCTCGAGGTCGTCGGGCCCACTCCGAAGAACCCGAACATTGGCAAACCGTTCAAAATTTCCTACTAAAAAGGGTTTCTCGGTGTTTCCGGGCCTCGTCCGAAGGGGCCGCCGATGGGCAGACCGCTCAGGATTCCCGCGCAAGAAACGGCTTCCCGGGTGAGCCATTGTCAACGGGAACGTGCCCCGCGCGGGATCGGGGTTCGCACGGGGGCGCGGCTGCTCTCGCTTGTCCAGGGGGCATGCATTGCATTGCCGCGCCCTTCCAGCACAGCGTTTGCGCTGCATTCGCGCGGCGCCGTGCCTTTCAAATCGGAATAAACTTTCGGAGCGCCGATGTAGACCATCTCAAAGTGTTCCGCCTGCCTGCCGGCGAACGCCCAGCGGCGCCAGGCGCTGGCTCGGCGTCAAGGAAAAGGAGGACAACAATAATCAGGAGGGGAAGAAACACACAGACACAATTAATCGTCGATCCCTGGGAAACGATGGGAAAATGTGGAAAGTGGGGGGGAGACAAAAAAACCACAACATACGGGAAAATATGGGAGATCTGGTTATTTGTGTCTATTTATTTGTGTGCCCCAGTTCCCCTTCAAATAAGGGTGACAGGAAAGGGGGGCTTAGGTATTTCTGTATGTATCGATATACATGTTGGCGATCGTTCCTCGTATCAGTAAGTTGTTGTTCTCTGAGGGTGCGAGGTATGTGGAGCAACATCGATGGTCTTTTTCTATATGGTGTCAGCTGCTCGGTGCACGCTATGTGGATCAAGTATTTTCTGCAAATATTGAAATCGTAACTTCCTTTGCTCGTGTAAACATCCCACCCACCCACCCATTGGTTTTTGGCCACACTCGACCGGTCGGCGACAACAACCGTGACGATCACGCTGATGATATTGAGGGCGATGGTGGGGATGATGTCGACGATGACGATCGTGGTGGCGATGAAATTGATGTTGATGGGGATGACGGGACCAGAGTGACGGTAGCGATGATGATGAGGATGACGATGGGGATGCTGATGGTGCTAATGAGGATGCTGATGACGACGATGGTGCTGGTGATGCGGATGAGGAACTGCACGCGCGTAAAAAATGGGAAAGCGACGACATCGACGATGACTTCGGTGGTGATGATCCCGACGACCGTGGTAATGATGGTGATGTGATGCGATGTGATGTTATGTGATGATGATGCTGATGATGATGGTGGTGGTGGTGATGGTGCTGACGATTGCAGTCATGCCACTGACGATCATGGTGGCGAATGTCTTGGTGAAGGCGGTGAGGAGGTGTGCGTCCGCAGAAATTGAAACATTCAGACACACCAAACAAACCACATTGTTTTCGTATGTTTCGAACATCATTGTGCCGACCTGGTCAAACCACAGTCTGTTGTTGGACGATTTTGACGCGCGAGCGGCGGATTCGCGCGTCTGGCCCGCATTGTACTATTTGAAACATTTGATGCGCCCGCCATGGTGTTTGAACGTTTTGAACATGCGCGCGCAGGTGGCCTGCATGGTTTGATCGAACAATGGTTTTAAGCAGTTGTTCTCGTAAGTTTTCAGCAAGTGCGCGCGCAGAGGTTTGGCACGTTTTTCTCGTTGAGGCGCCAAAGTTGTTGATAATATGCGATTTCGGGCTATGCAGTGCATATCGTCCGCCGCGCAACATCTGCGCGTGACAACCGCCCTTGCTCGTGCAGCCGTCCCACCCGCCCACCCGCAATTTGTCGGGAGCGCGCACGTGGCCATGATCTCAGCGAACGCACGGGCGCGTCGAACTCACCCGCGCAAGCGAGTCCGTCTTCCATTTCGCGAACTACTGTTGGCAATGCTGACGGGCGCGACGCCAACGACGATGGCAATGACAGGGGTTATGACGCAGATGCCGATGGCGATGGCAGCGGCGATGGGGGCGACACGATGCCGACGACGACGATGGTGATGGTGATGAAGGTGATTGTGGTGAGAATGGCCGTGGCAACGGATATGCTGGCGATGATGATGGCGATGGTGCTGGTAACGACACTGAGGAAGTGCTCGCGCGCAGCGGGTTGATGAGGAGGACTACTTCAACGATGAGTACTGTGACCATCATCCAGGCGATGGCGATGACGATGGTGAGTTGGATGGTGATGATGATGGTGAGTATGATGATGCGCATGGTGATGAAGAGGGATATTATGATGACGGTGGTGGTGATGATGATGACGATGATGAGGATGATGATGATGATGATGATGATGATGATGATGATGACAGCACTGCCGCTGATGCTGTTGCTGATGATGGTAAGGAGGATAATGACGATGATACTGACGATGATGATGCTGATGTTGATGCTGCTGATGATGACGATGATGACGATGCTGATAATGGTGGTTTTGATGCTGATGCTGATGCTGTTGCTGTTGTTGTTAATGAGGGTGATGCTGATGATGATGGTGAGGATGATGATGATGATGCCCATGATGATGCTGATGATGACGCTGATGATGATGACGCCGATGATGATGATGACAACGAGTGTGCTGGTGGAGTGCACGTCCGCAGAAATTCCAGCACCAGGGCATTTTTTATGAACCGTGCTGGCACGTGCAGTTAGAACATCAATGGTTCGGAGCGGATTTTGGCGCAGGTGCGCGGAGGCGCGCGCGTGTGGCCCGCACGTCGTTATTTGACAGAGCCTGTTGGCGCGCGATGGTGGTTGAGCGTTTGTGACATACGCGCGCAAGTGGCCCGCACTCCCTGGCTTGGCAGACCAATTCAACGCCAGCGGTTTTCCAAGATTTCGCTGAGTGTGCGCGCGCAGAAAGCTGGCAATTGTTATGTCGAACCAATGGTTCTGAGTGGCCATGTGTATCGATTGTAAGCAGGTATAGTGAAGAAGGGTCCAATCATATGTAAGCGTGAATGTCGCAAGGCAGGTGGGACGAGTGAGGGAAATCTCCGATTGGTCCACGAAGCGTGTTTAAGGTGTACCGACATGGGCGGGGATCCCCATGTGCGCCCCCCCCTCCCCCCTGGTGGCTTCGGTGGAGTCCCCTGTGGGGCCACGAAGCGTGTGAGGGATGTGCCCGAATTGACTGGGGGACGCTATGCGGTACCACCTTTCTGGGGGCGTTCGGTGGAGATCCCATTATGGGGCCATGAAGCGTGTGAGGGGTATGTCGAGATGGGCTCGTGGACGCTATGCGGTGCCACCCCTTGGGGCTTCGGTGGAGGTCCCTACGAGGCCACGAAGCATGTGAGGGGGGTGCCGACTTGGGCTGGTGGACGCTGTATGGCACCACCGCTTGTGGGCGTTCTGTGGAGCTCCCAGTGGGGCCACGAAACGTATGAGGGGCGTGCCGATTTGAGCTGGGGACGCTATGCTGTACTGGAGCTCCGAATTGGGTCACGAAACATGTGAGGGGTGTGCCGACATGGGCTGGGGGACGCCATGCGGTACTAGCCCCTGGAAGCGTTCCTCTGGAGCTCCTCATGGGGTCACGAAGCGTGTGAGGGTTGTGCCGAAATTGGCTGGGTGACGCTGTGTGGTTGCACCTCCTGGGGGCGTTTGGTGGAGTTCGCGATGGGGCCACGAAGCGTGTGACGAGTGAGCCAAAACGAGCTGGAGGAGGCGGTACAGCCCCTTGATAGTGTTCGGTGGGGCTTCTTCTGGGGCTACGAAGCGTGTGAGGGTTGCGCCGGAAACGGCTGGTGGGGCTATGCGGTACCACCCTCTGGGGCGTTCGGTGGAGCACCCTGTGGGGCAGCGAAACGTGTGGCGTGTCGGCATGGGCTGGGGGACTATGCGGTACCAACCCATGTTCGATGGAGCTCCCTTTGGGGCCACGAAGCGTGTGAAGGTTTCTACCGACATGGGCGGAGGCGGTGTGTGGTATCACCAGCACCACCACCTGTGGGCTTCGGTGGAGCTATCCACAGTGCCACGATCCGTGTGAGGGGTGTGCCGACATGAGCTGGGGAACGCATGCGGTACCACCCAAGGGGCGTCCTGTGGAGCTCCCTATAGGGCCATGAAACGTGTGAGGGGTATGCTGAAGTGGACTGGGGGACGCCATGCAGTACCACCCTCTGGGGCGCTCGGTGGATGTCCATGTGGGGCCACGCAGCATTTGAGGGGGGTGCCGACCTGGGCTGGGGGACGCTATGCGGTACCACCCCGTGGAGCGTTCGGT